ATCCATGGTTGTGACCAAAGCATTTCTCTTCCACCTCTCTTGGCCAACTTCTCCCTACTGCACAGTCTTCCCAGGGGCTCCAAAGAAATTTGCCACCTCCTTCTCTTTTCCCTCCTCAGAAACCCTCTTGTTAGCTGGAGAAATACCAAAGTAAGGAAGACAAAAAGCCATTAAGTAAAGTGCTTAATGGAATAAAATTACCAACAAATGCCAGTGTTTAGGAAGTAACTTCTGCCTAAGCAAACAGCATTGTTTACTGCATGTGCTTAAAATATTCACACTCTCTTCTTTCTTTACTCATGGGATTTTTCTCTCCATTAAGAATCAGCAGATAAGAGCAAAGAAGGGGCTGTAATTATTGCTATGAGACTTCCTTAGCTCAGTTCCTAATAAGTGCAAGTAAATACACACATGCACACACTAGGGTTCAAGTGTTATCAAGCTCTTATGGAATAGAAAGGATTGCTTCATGATGGTTCTTATTCAAAACACACAGAGCTATTACTTGCCTCTAAAATAAAGGCAAATACCATAAATATAAGAATTCAAAAGCTACAGTGTATAAGAAATGCTTAATCAAAGCTAAATGAAAAGTAAAAAATGTTACAAGAAAATACATCTTAAAGTTTCTTTGCAGAAACCTTGTGACTAAAAAAGAGATACATCTTGCTTAAAATTAAATTTAACTGACAATAACATATCATCTTATTTGCAAGAAAAACAGGAAGATCTGAATGTCCATGGGTCAGTTAATCCCATTTTAAAAATCTGTACTGTAGAATACAAACAACACATCAATAAAGCAGAATAGGGATCATTCATCCAACAGATCTCAATAAAAGTAACCAAGAAGAAATTACTGCTGATTGGAAAGGTTCTTGGCTGGATTTATGGAGTGTCACTGGGCATATTTACTCACAGATAAATAAAGACTTACTGCAGAAGAAATCTGCAGACAGCCAAAGGTTAGGAAGTGTGGAAAATGAAGATAGCAAAAAGTCATAGGGACCTATGTGGTGTATGCTGTAGTATAAAGGTATATATCGAAGATAACAAAAAGACAAACACTATGCAAAGTTTTATATTATACTTTCCTGTTTTGAAAACACACTATTTATTCATAAATTTGAACAGAAAGGAGAGGCATCTTCACAGGTAAAATAAGCAATACCAGATATAGAAAATAATGTTCATGATACATACAAATGAAAAACTAAAATCAGTACCTTTTAGAGAACATAAAGCACTGAAGGAAGTAATAAGTAAATCTGCACAGTTTTGAGAAAGATTACAATCAAAGCTTCAATGCTGCAAGAAATACATGTGTAAATGAATCTGTTCATTAGAACAAGATGTTGCCTTCATCTTTTGATTGTTCAGATCTTGAAAGACAAGTCACACAAAATTTCAGTTAAAGAATTTCAACATCGTGATCACAAAAATCAGTTTACCTTCTTTATAGCAAAAAGAATTCTGAAGGAAAGTAAAAATGCATAAAGCTACAGGAAAAGTGAATGTTATTCCCTGAAAGCACCATGTGGTATTGTAAGTATTATTTGTACCTGCAGTATCTGTGAATGCTGTGCTTTTGTTCAGTCTAATCTAGGACACAAGCTAAAGTTCAGATTTTAGAAGCAGTTTAGACTCTTACATGCTTTGCATTAACACATATGTTTCTAGAAAGTTGAAAAAAACATAAAAATAATTCTGATATTCTCCAGTTGTGATCTATCTTTGGAAACCGATGCTAACAGGAATTAAACAAGCTCTGGACAGTCAACTAATTATACTGGGAAAATATGTGGAATTTGAAGTTTATCTACACATAGCAAAAGTTGAATTTTCACCTATTCCTCAGAAGATAACTGTAAACATACTACGAGAAAAAATTATTTTTGATTCAATGCTTAAATAATATCAAAATATACCTTGGGGTATGAAATATAAATAGATGTAGTTTATCAAGTTTAGAAAACACTTGCTGAGCATGACTAATTTGCCAAATAAGGAATTGACAGAACTATGAAAAAAAGGCAAAAGTTGGCATGAGAAAACATGTTGATTTTAACTGCAAATTTTAATTTAAATAAAAAAAGTCCTGTAACTCTATTTACTATAATGAATAACAACTGTGAAAACTGCTTGCTAAAAGCTTTGGAACTTATAAGGAAAGTCCTAGCAAAAGCCAGTGGGAATGGAATTCAAAACTCAAATAACCATCCCAAGCAGAGGAAGCCAAGAAAACAAGTGGTGAATTGCTCCAGCTCATGACATTGCTTTTCAAGAATGACTGCTTTACTGAACAGCTCTTAGATTCAGTACACATGCAACTGCATGAAATTTTATATCCTCAAATACCAATATGGTTGAAATAACTGACGTTTTTTGGCCTTAAAATGATGATTATTATTAATGATTATTCAGGAGTACTTTTTTCCAAATGTTTCAACTTCATGAGCTGTCAGCAGAGATGCATTTTTGCTAGTTTACTAGGAATACTTCAGAGCAGGAATCTTTATTTATTACTTGTTCACTTGGGTATTTTGAAGAATACTTCTCTTGCCACTTCAATTTACAAAAGCAATGAAAAAGCAAACAAATTAGTTTTTCCTACCTAAAATTCAATGCACAGGTTGAGTAAACAGAAGGCTTTACCAGGTGCAGGAAAATTCAACACTGCTTTAGTAGGATCAAAAGATGTCAAAGAAGAAAATCTCAGGAGTTAAGAAGTCTTGAATATAAGGTATACTCTAAGGATGCATTTATATAGTGACTTTCATTTTGTAAAATAATAATGAGAATGTCAGACTAAGGCAACGCAGCTAAACAAAACTTAGAATTTGTCTGACAAAAAATTGAAATAAAAAGATGTATAGATTATAATCACCTAGAACTGCGCCTACAAGAAAACTTCTAAATACCACTTACATAAAAAATATTTAGTTTATACTATAACAACTTACCTTTAAATAATTCTTCTAGTCTCCTTTCAAAATTTTGACAAAGAATGTAGTAATTCAGAATAATTTTTAAAGGTCACTATGTAAGCAAGTAATTTCTACTTGTACAAGACATCACAGCCACCACAAGATAGCACAAAAGAAGTGCCTTCACTAAACCAGCTCTACTTCACCCAGTAAAATAAAAGAGAAGTTCTTAGCCTGATATGAAGGGCAAAATACCTTGCTTAGCCTCTCACTGACATATACCTGCAGTACCAGGCTGATAGTTTAGATAACTTACAATAGTTCACATCAAATATCTGGAAAAAATACAGTCTACAACATGTAAGTTTTTTTAAGTGAGCTATTTAAAATATGCAATTAGAGCTTGAGTAACGTATCACACCTTTGAGAATCAGAGCCATGGATAACTCAGGTGGACTCCAATTTTAGTTATTTAAGATTTCAACTCCTTGAAAACTTACACCACCATAATTTTGTCTTGGCTCAAATAGCAAATCTAGGGTTAAAAATGTAATCTGATTTATCCCTTATATTTCTAAGTGTGTGTGAGTTACTCTCTAGAGTCCGGTTTCATTAATCACTTTTGGATTCTAGTAACAAGTTCTTGTAGCTCAAGACCAAAAAAAGAAATCGGAATAGGACAAAGCAAAGTCAACCAGTATAACCTTAATGCATATCATATCTGGAGTCCTACAGTATACATGACCATCAGATTATGTTTAAAACACCAAGTTCTACAGCAATAGAAGAGCACACAGATTGGTGGAGTAATAGCAGCACTAATTTTCAGACCTCATTTTTTCACAATACTAACTGGATGACACTGCAAGTAGAAAGGAGTCTTTTAAAAATAAGCACTTTTATCAGTGGGGTAAAAAAGTCTAGCCAGTACTAATCCAATTCTCAGACGTATGACCATAAAAACAGGTTATGCTATGAGAACACCTAAGAAAACTGTGTTCTTATGGATTTATCGCCTACGTGTCATATTTCAACCTAGCCATAACTCCTCCACAACCACTACAACTGCCCACAGACACCTGCAATAGCCCTTCACATAACCCTTTCTCCTACATCTGCTTGTGTTATCTCCCACATCAGACTCTGTCCCCTCTCAATAAAAGCACCCTATGCTCCAACCACTGTTCCACAACTTCCATATTCACAGGCCTGCTGCAGAAGTCTCAGACTGCTGGGCTCAACCAGTGCTTTCCAAGAGACAGGACATTCTTTAGGGGTTTTGTCCTTCCCTACTCAGTTTTCAGTTTTCAAAGACTTTCCCAAGACCTTTAGCACTGCTCAGGAAGACAAAAATACCTGAAGGTAGGTTAATAGGAAAATGTGTTTCTGGACACCTCTGACACAAAGACATGTCTAGATGTGGTATCATATTGAAAGCCATGGAACATATAGAATTTGTCAACAGTATGAAAGTTACATATGTTGTTTAATGTTAAAACATAAAGTTCAAAGAATGGCTTAATGTCATCAGCTGCCTAAATAATACTAGAATTAGCTCACATTTCTGTTGTTCTAACCTGTAGGTCTCCTTGGCTAAATGCAGTGGTATTGCTTCCTTCTAATGTATTCGAAAGGGCAATGGTGTGATAAGCTGACAAGAACATTGAGAAAACTAATGCAGGCATTTTTTAATAATTTTATAATGAGTTACATGCTATTTTACACTTTTCTTCAAGTTACTGCTCCAGGTGCAAACATACAAGAGTTATCACTCTCAAGAAAAAGCATCAGTCCTGAGTAAAAAAAAATGTGACATTTGAAAGGCATGAGAGCAAGGAAAAAGGCTTTCATCAATCATACTTTGCTTTCCACAGTGCTTAGTGCAAGCATAGTTTTAGAGGAAAGTGGATTGCTTGGTGCTAGCAACATGCAGAAAAAATGCATATACCCTCTATTTTAATGCTTTGAGCTTCACAACCCACATTCTACTTCTGCCCTTTTCTCCTTTGCCTGACCCTCAGCTATACTTACGTTATCCTAAATACAGTGACAGTAGTTCAAACACCTACTTACAGGAATCATCCAGTTGGCCAGGTCACCGTACTTGGACACCTGCATAGCTCCAAGCATTGTCAAGTCAACATGGCCGCTGGCAACAGAGAGTTGTAATTAGCACATCATGTTCAAGCAACAGCCTACAAACCTTAAAAAGCTTTTCTTCATTCTCATTACATCAATTTAAAAATGGTGGCACATGACAGAGATAGCAAGCCTTCTGCCACACGTGTAGTAGGTGGTTTTTCCCCTCCAGATGTATCACTGGTGCAAATTTCTCCCTATGCCTACTGAGACTCTATAACATTCCTACTTTTCTCTGGTTTTGGATAATTGCATGCACACTCAATCAGCTCTGAACTCATACTTTTAAGTGCACTCCTTCACATATTTACATGAACTCATTATCTTTTCAGAGCCATTAGGATTTAGTGTTTGTTTGCATCCAACCTCCTTTCCGAAAAACAAACAAAAAACAGGTGCAGAGGGTGAATTTCCATTAAGGAGGTGGAATGAGGATCACAGTTGCAAGCTGAGCAAGAAAAATATAGAGCGCGAGTACAGATTAGATACTTGGAAATGACCAAAAAGTAGTTGTTAAAAACATAGTTATAAATGTGTTTATATATGGCCAGGTGGTGGTAGGCACGAACATCATTATGGTATCTATTAGTTACAGTGGTTTTTTTATTTCCAATAGCTAGACTAATCCTCTGTAAACCATCACTGATTAAGTCCATGCTAATTTTACAGGTTTTTAAATGCTAACCACATTTGAAAGAAATACTAATGAGTTCAGTCATTGACTCAGTTTATTCTTTTCCTGTTTCAAAAAGATCGGGGTTTGTATTGTTACATACCCTCTTATCATTGCAAATGATTCATCGCTAGAGAAATATGAAGAACCTGGAAGAACAGTCACTGTCTCCTTACCTGTAAAAGAAATAAGCTACAGTATGTATGCATTTTGGTTTTTTGACAAATCAAGTCACAGATATTAAGCAAGAAATAAGGGGGTTTTTTTGAAATTCCTTTGGAGTCACTACAGCTGTGGATCTGATTACCGTTACTGTGTCACATGTTACCATAATCAATCATACTAAATTGTGAAGCAACTTATTTTCATTTTTTAATGATAGGATTGCCTACTCTTTGACCACCTGCAGTTTCAGGCAAGACTTCACTAAGACCAGAGTGTAAGAAATATCTGTGGATTTTAGCTTTCAGCACAATTCATAGAAAAAGTGAGAATCTAACTCTTTTGAAATAGAGAAAGAGAGGGTCTTCAGGAGACAGGGAGGCTGCAAGAAAGAGTGAGTAGATCAGATTGAACAGTTTACAGTGCTAACGAGGTAGAATACAGAAAAATAAATGACAGGTCTAGTCTATTCTTGCTTTGTTAAAGTGCACAAGAAAATGTGCTTCTGAGTGCTGTACTGTTCTCTGAACAATGCTTGGGTCAAGCAATGGAGCACACCTGGAAGCATCTTATTTGTCTGTCCAGGGCTCTTTCCTTCCTTTCCTGCCAATTCTTTGAATCAGTCTAAGCAACAACCATATATACAGGGTGCCTCTGAAAAGGCATAAGACAGACAGATAAAGGTGAAATTATAAACCAAGCATAGGAAACTTGAGAGAAAAAAAAAAAGACCCGAAATATTTTAGCACCAGATGACATTGAAAAGAAACAGTGAAATAAGGCATCATTAAACAGTTTCCAGAAAACAGTGGAAAAAAGACAATGAAATTTATTAAAAGGATGGGAAAAGAGAATAAAACTGTAGAAAACTTAAAACACATATGTAAGATACCTGCTTTAATTACTGAGTTCACTTGATGTATCTTATATGCCAGTTGTATGGAAATTAAATTTTGACACACAGAATAGTATAGAATTAAAGTCATACAAGTGGTCTTCCAGTCACACTGCGAGAATTCACCCATGCGAATGCCCAGACCTGCTGAGACTGCCTGAATTGTCCTTCTCTGCCAGTCACCCACCCAAGGCAGTGAAAAGACAACATGGCCTGCAGGCAGTGACGTGGGGCCAGAAGCCTGGGAGAAAGTCAAGGGTAAGGCAATGATGAAAAGAAAGACATACAGCCTTAGGACTACAGAATAATGTAGAAAGAGTGCCACATTGTTGCAAATGTTCTCAGGAGGTCAGTACTTTTAAATATTTCTGCTGTAATATAGTGGTCTACCTTTCAACTGCAGTGAATATAAACTTCGTGTGAGACATTCAGAAAATAGGACAAACAGAAAAACCTATACATATTTCAGAGCAATACAATTAGATTTGCAGATAAAAACTTGGCAAAAGCCCAGGTCAGGTGTACATTTGAAAATGTGGACTTTGGAGCTGATACTGGGTCATTCCAGTTGATGAATGAGAACAGAATCAATTTCTATGCCTCTGCCATTTAGCTTCTGTTTTCTTCATTTCATTTTATAAATTTGATCAGAAAGCACCTAGAATGGTTTTAATCCAACCACGTGTTAGTGGGATTTAGCAGCTTCCGAATGTTTCAGCAATTATAGCAATAATAATTTTGGTCATAGATCTGAGGTTCACCTATCCCATGTCCTGTTTAATGCAGCTTCAGAGGAATATGTGAAGTTGCTTAACTCTGAATTACCAATACTAGAACAATCTTATTTTCATGTTGCATGTTGACCTCTTATGTCAGCTTCATCCCTTCCAGATTCTCTTCAAAAATATTTATCAACTATAAGTAACAATGCAAGATCATCTTGACTTCTGTATTAAAGCACAATGACATTTCAGGGAATTTATGAAGTTCTTTGATATTTTTTCCATTGCCACTCTGTTAACATACTTATTTTTCATATGCACCCATATAAAAATTTCAGTTCTAAAAGACAAGCATATAATTTCCCCTTTTATAGTACTTTTTTTCTCCTAAATAATGTTTTCCTGCCTGTGACACCTCTGACATATTCCGTCATCCAGTGTATCAAAAGAATTACATAGCTACTGGTGAAATGTTGGACTCAATTTCTTAATAATTTTTTATTTCAAACCTGAAGATGGCCTCAAATAACTTCATATTTAAAATATGATACTGTAACAGGGGCAGTTAAATAGCAGTATGATAATGGTCATCAATTAGTTGAGCCAAGCAGCAAATGTTTCAACTCAGTGAACAGTTGCTGGACTGCACCCTGATATTAAATTAAAAGCTTATTTGATGTCACCTTCATCTCCTTTGACTTTGAATTCAGAGTTTAATTGTACTTGCTAACAGCCACTGAGAAAGGTACTATCTGTATAGATACATATATACACAATCATACATGTTTTTGTATGTATGTATACATATACTCAAATAAAAAAATATGAAAAATATATGTTTGCCATATGAAAACAACTCTAAGATGTGTCAGGTCTATAACCAACCTGTACCATTAACATCAATGAGAAGGTTCCAAGACCTGCTTTTCTTTGTTGTAAGGCAATATAGAAGTGCATTTTTACATGGAAAACAGAGAACGCACATAAGCACAACTTATCAAAAAAAAAAAGATCAGACAGATGCACTAAATCATAAAAAGCTTACATTTTTACACTGTATGGCTGCTTCTGAGGTGAAATACACCAAAACAGCTGGGGAAAACCAGCATGTGAGCACTGTCATTCCCCACTGAAGTGGTAAAAGCAGCTGCCCTCAGGAGAGCCCCTCACTGTGCCAGGTCCCATCTGGGGGGCTCTTTCCTCCTGCCTTGTCTGCCGCTCCCTCTCTGAATGCAAATGGGTTACACTGCGGGGCCAGGAATAAACCAGGCCATTATACACAGGATGTTTTAAAACATGCCTCAAGTATAAATTATTGAAAACCATTTTCTAGAAAACATAAGGTGAAAAGCACCAGGAAAACAAACCCATATTCCCATACAGACTGCATGAAACAATTTCCCTTCCGAAAATGGTGATTTGACCCTTTTCTGACTGGCCTGGAAGAGAATTTCCTTTAGTAGCTACTACAATGCATCAAAGCATAAGCTCTCTATCTAGAATATTAAATATATCCATTGATCAAAATCAGCCTTTACTTAAGGGAAGACAAATACATTAATATTTATTAACAAATACAACAGAATTTTAGGTTCAAATACTGTATCAGAAGAAAAAATTTAAGTTAACAATGAATAATCACCTTCCATGAATTAAATTTAATGAAAATACTTTACCTGCATTAATCAGGTCTGGATCTACTTCACTTTCAAGTGGATAAGGACCCTGACAACAATAAGGATGTATGTCAGCTTAATATTAAAATACCTTTGAAATACAATTCCTAACTGCTTTATTATTTATAACGGTTATTACTGGAAACAAGATTATCACAGACATGCATTTTTTGTCTTCAGCAGGAAAAAAAAATCCTGACAATACAAGCAACAATTTACATCACCTAACATACAAGGCCTGATGGACATATTGTTAGAGGCTGTTAGAATTACTAAACAACCATGAAGTGGGGGGCTTGTTTGATTTGGGTTTTTTTTTGTTCTTAACCAAAGTGACAGACATTTTTCAGAAAAGTAACTGCAACTTCATAAAGCCATATTGACAGTGAATATAATAATCATATTAAGCTTTATTTAAAATTATGTTTGATAAGGTTTACACTGCTTGGCCTTGCAAACTAGTGAAGGTTCTGACTCCAGCAAAACATGTACTTAAGAAGATCCTTAGCAAAGTAGCACTATAATGGTAAAGTGAGCATTTCCTTAAAAACTTCCCTGCAGTACAATAAGAATTTTGTGATGATGTAATATGGCATATACTTGAATATGATTTTTTAGTAAATTTGTAAGCAAGTTGGAGATCGGTGAGGAATAAAACCAAGCCACTCTAAGATAAAACCACTGTAATAAGAGACCACAATACATTCTTACCAAACCCAGGACTCCATTTTCACTTTGTAAGTGAACAGTTATGTCTGGACTGATGAAGTTACTGGCCAATAGTGGGATTCCAATACCCAGATTAGCTGAAAAGAAGTGGTTAAGGCACAAACATTTACTGCAAACTAGTAAATCAAAACAAGTTATCATTGTAAAATTATTTGACTTAGAACTGTTCTCTTCACAAACACTTTCGTTTTTACTTAGATGCCTCATATTTATGATGAATTATTTTGCCATTTGGACTGTCTAATTTTATTCTGTCAAATCCTTTACATGACAAAAAAATGACAGTGCAAGTAAAGCTTCATTTCCAATTTTTTCAAGAAATTCTTTCAAAATAGTCAACTGCTAACAAAACCCTCAGATACCCCGGATAAAAGCTCCAGGTACTCTGTGCCTTGGCATCCCTTCTATTTCAATTGGGTGTTAACAAATAGAGAGAACCAAACGGTCTGGGAAAAACAAAGAGCATGTTAATTAATCTGTCCTAAACAAGCCAGCTGCAGTTGTTATCGTAGTCAGTCCTAATTTTCATCTATTGCACAGCTGAAGGATACCATACATGCCATCCTCAAACTCCAAAGCAGCCCGTTTGATGATCCTCTCCCTCACGTTGTCTCCTTGCTTTTGTTTGGCTTTGGAGTCTTCAGGCTTTCGAATTGATAAGCGCTGCAAAATAAGAAGTAATCATAAGGAAAGAGAAGAATCCAGATTCTTGCTTCTCAAGACACAAAAGGTTGATTTGTGATTGCACTGAGATACTTGGTCTGAGAATAAAGTTATTTATTCTGTATCTTCTACCAAAAAAATGACCTTTTATTTTATCCATTCAAGCTTATCTGAGCCAATGGAGTCATCAAATACCACCAGCAATGGCCTTAGAGCAAAATGTTATTTTTTTTTTCTGTATTGCCAAGCCTGATACATAGACAAGTAGTGAAGAAAGCACCGAGCATTAGTGTAAATACTGGAAAGCCTGAGATTCATTACGCCAGAGACACCTAAATAGATTTGTAAAATGTCAGCCAAAAATACAAATATCTTTCTCTTTCTGCATTCATTCAGTTCAATGAGGTGTCCTAGATTTATAAGTAGGAGACAGACAAATGCCATTCATCTAAAGATAGTGGGAGTTAAGAAATGAAAGTTTTCTAATGAAAATCTCTATAATCTTCTATACATCTGCCTGATATTCCTGTAATTTTCTGGCCTTAAGTTGATGTTTTGTAAATCACATATAGTTGAAAAAGCCATGACATTAAAGAAGTTTGTAACACCTTTTTTGCAAATTGCTGTCTACATAGATTATGTCCTTTGCTCATCTCTCCCATGTATATAAAACTCCTCTGGTATCATCATGTCCTGCACCCCCATTTGTCTTCACATCCTCTCCTACTTCAGGCCTACAATTAGCACATCAGGAAAAATTTTTCATCATCATCACAGAAGAATTTTTGCAGAGTCACTTTTACTTTAAGCAGCGAAAGACCAGCAAAATCAACCCTCCTGAATTTCCCAGCAACTTTCATTTTATGCCTTGGCTATTCTCCCTAGACTTGCTTCACTTGCAGATAACAGAAGAAGTAAGAACAATTACAGAGGGTTTCTCTGCAGCAAAGAGAAGACTGGATAGAAAGTATGACTTGCACCAGAGGGACCACTTTTGAGCCGTATCAAGTAGAAACTGCTATTTAGAGCCTGTAAGAATTATGATAGACTAACTTCTCTTTATTTCTTTTATTCCTCTTGTTCTCTCACCAGTTATCATACTCAACACTTTGTACAGCCGCTTCATACAAAAAATGTAACTGAAGAGTAAATAAATCTGCCATTTTCTTTCTATATCTCTAGTAATGAGAGGTGCCACTGCCAGAATTACACAATTGCCACAACCCAAATTAATCTCTGTTACTATGTTGCTCGGCAGTTTACAGAAGCTTTCTTTCCCCTCCCTTAATTTTTTTTCTTAAGCATATAGGGAAGGAGACAGCTGACGAGGTAGGTGTATTCACTTATTTACCCAAGACCCAGTAAAAGCAACAGTTTATTAAATGCAAAAAAGATTTCTGTCATGTAAGGTAAAAAGCTTTTCTGTGAGATAATGCATCCATTCAGAAGAAGGAAATAGACCACTAATTGCAATCTAACCCAACATGACCAGAGGGGGGAAAAAAAGGTTTGACACATCTGTTTGCAGTCAATTACTCAACAACATGCAATATGTTTTTGCAGAATGAACAGATGGGAAGAAAGAAAAAAGCTTTTTAACTTTAACATTCACAAGAGTTTACTCAGAGAAAAGGCCTTGTATGACTTTACAGGACTCTGTGACTTGATTTTAACAATGGAAGTTTAACTACTAAAATTCCTTTCTGCACCTTTTTTTTACCCCAAATGTTTTTCTCCTCATATATCTTGCCCTCCACAGCTCTTCTGATGACATTTTGAAAAACTCCCACCTCCCGAGTATGGAGATACAAGAGAAATACAGAATTTTCAAGTGTGCTTTAAAAGCATTGTCACATCATCAAAACAAATACAGGGACATAGACTGACTGAGGCAAAGCCACAGAAACAACAAAGAACAATTACATAATCATCATTTTCTTGGATGTTTTTAGCGGTGGAATATTACTGTTGCAACTTTTAATAGCTATTGACATCTTTTATTTAGGCTAGAAAGACCACTGGCTAAAAAAGCTCCTGATCAAAGAAAAGGAAACAAAAGTTTCCAGGACCTCTGCAACACACCATAATTCAACACATGGCACAAAAGTGGCTGAGACTGGCCCTACGTGCCCATGTCAAGAGCTTTGTAGTGGAAAAGACAGCATCTAATCATCAAAGTCAGCTCCTAGTCTAGGTGCTCCTCCTGTTGTGCCTACAGCAAGTGAACTGAGGGAAGAATGGAGAATGAAATAACATTTTGCCACCAAATTTTCAACCGTGGTAAAGCCATCCAGGACTGGAGGCAGTTTCTCTAAATTATTCAGGGACTGAGACATAGAGTCTGAAGTTTAAGAAATAAGGATCAATTCCCAGATGCCCACCTAACTACACAAGTACCTAAATACCTCCAGTATTTAGCAAAACTTGACAGGTCTTTCTCACACTATCTTTTCAGTGTGGGAACAGCAAAACTCTGTAAATTTTAAATACACCCCAAACTGAACTATGTCATGACCAAGAAGCTCAGCTACTTACTTCAATTCTCTTCTCAAACTTCTCTCCTTGTAATAGACGATCAACATAGATTTTGGGAACATGAATGTCTTCTGGGGCAAATGCTCCTATATCAACAATTTCTTCCACCTACAGAAAAAAGGGAAAGTGAAAATATTTAGAAAAAAGTATTCAATTAAGGGGCTTATTAACAATAAAGTTTCAAATATTAAATATAAGGTGTATTACATCAAGAAAACAAGGAATGGGAAAAAATAGATATAGCCTTTAAAATAGGTTAATTTAGATGCTTATCTGTCCTCTTCTTCCAAAGAATAATTCTTCATACAAACTGAAAGTAGTTTATGTTTTAACAGCCCAATCTATATGGCCAACTTGAAAAAATATAACATGTACAATTATGTCAGAGGTTTTTGTACCTAAAAATAGTTCTGTCCAGAGGAAAACATTATGCTAGTAATAAAACATCAAAATATAAAGCAGAAGCATGAATTTTGAGGATATGAATACAGAAGCTGGCTCAAAGATTTTCCATAGTGCACTCAGAATAAACAGAAAACATTTGAACTGTATTAATGGATTGCAAGAAAGAAGATGCAAGATGAAGATCTAGAAGTCTCTACAGTCAGTGAAACAGATTCAACACAAAATGACACTCATCCACACACAGTAGATTTGAAATGTCACCTATTTGGAGCAGCACAGACAACAGGCTTTTCCTTCCTTCTACATCTGAGTTCAGGGTGGCCTAGCTAGAAACCCTGCTATAGATAGATTCCTGCAGCTCAGACTTTCAGCCATGTCCGGTGCTTTCCCTGACAGGTCTGAGGTACACAGAGCACATCTCACTCTCCCACAAAACAGACACTAATGTCAGTGTTGTGCCTGAATCCAACCTCAGGGAAAACATGTAAGAGCATGTTAGAGCATTAGAGCAACAAGTCAAAGATGACACATAACAATCTATTCAAAGATTAAAAGAAATTCACTAAGTTTCCAAATTGCTTTGTCACCAGGAATTAGTTAAACTTTCCGGAATGTCTGAAGTTTAATAACCACAAAACAAGACCTAGGGTATGATAAATCAGTAAGGGTACAACACTTAACAGCCATCACCAGCGAAGCAACACTAAAGAGCTTAAAATTCAATTTGACATCCTACTGTTACTGCACAATGTGATCAATACGAAAATCTATAGTACATCTGATAGACAATTACCTTCCTACTGTGCCTTGAATTGTGACAATAAACAAACAAACACACAAACCAATCCACCCTAACAGCAGCAGAGGGAGAAGAAAAATTAACAAACTAAAAACCAGGGATTAGGTTCAAATGATCCCTAAAAAAAACCCCTGGATTAAACAGACAGAAAAGATGAGCTGTGAAATCTGTAAGATAAAGGTGCCAAGGAAGAGGCAACAAGAGCCAAAGAACACCAGCCTCAGTGCTCATGCAGACCAGAATCCCACATCCAGAAGCCCTTACCCACAAGATAAGGAGAGACAATCAAATCAGTATTTTGAAAATTCTAACTAGAGTTTTCATGAAAAAATGCTCCAGTTGCATCCACGTCACTTAAAGTTTTTTTATTTTATATGTGAATTTTAAGACTAATATGGAGACCAAATCAAACATCGGAAAAGCTCCTGAAGCACACAGCTGAAGCACACTGCACTCCTGGTACAGTGACTACTGTCAGAACATGCTCAGAAGGGAGGAGAAGCAGGAGACAAGACTTTTCAGTGAAATCATAGGTGAGAAACATGATCTGCTACCAGCAGAATTCTCAAATTCATCCTTTTTAATAAATTTTTCTTCACTTATCAGGTGGAAAACTAGGCCTGGGGAATACTAATTGGTCCTGATTGGAACTTTCTCACAAAAGAACTACATTTATTTGCTGCAGGAGCTGAGATCATAAATTCAACCAACTCCAACAGAATTCTGCTGTTAGAAAACTTGACACATTGTCTCTTCCTCCCTTCCTCCTCCCCTCTGCCCCCCCCCAGAATACAGAGGATAAATAACTGATCCAGCAATAAATTGTTGGATTTTGTTATTAGTCACACCATTCTGCTAATTGGTTTGTAATTTGTCTCTTTGGACACAGTAGTCAGCATGATAGCTTTTCCTCTAGTATTTCCAAACATTATCCTAAATTAACATAACACTGCAAACTGTATTTTGTCCCAGGGATTTCAGATAAGCCTCACAATCCCTGAAGACTGGAACACCTTCCTGTGCACAGGCAACCCTCCACTATTCTTCCCAGTGTTTTGCAATTTCCATGTTCTACCCTTATAGGAAATAAGCATCAAATGGAACTAAAATTAAGTAAGTTCAAATACCCCACAGCAATAGAGTGGAATTTTGAAAAGGGATTAAGAATTTGCATGTGATGTATGCAAACATAACTATCTACCAGTTCTGCAAGTGAAATTAATCAGCATATTAATATGGAAAAAGAATAATTCACACAGGGGAAGTACAAATGCCACCTGATTGCTCCAGCTCTTTCTCCCAGCTCCTCTCACAGGCAACTAGATGATGCTCCAGTTGAGGCACTGTAGGTGGGCTGCCCACCATCAGTATTGCCAGAGATGAAGCTGTGCCAACAGAAATCACCAGGAAATCTGATGGCTATGGGAATCAGCACCTTAACTTCACCACAAGGCATAAGCCAAGTATCTTCCTAGGCAAGAATGATAATGCAAAAATAAACAGTCCCACCACTGGGCACATTCACTGTCCTTTCAGGTTTTCATACTTCTTTAGGAGTCTTCTCTGGAACACATCTGTAGCCTAAGCCACAAGGAAACAGGCAGGAGAGCTCTCATATTAATAATTAAAAGGATTTGTGTGAGTTTTTCTTCTGTTCTGCTCTCCCTTCTGTTTTTTCTTCTCTCTACTCACCTTGCCTCAGGCTTTATTTTGTCATGCACAGAAGAACCTCTGTAAGTATCAAAAACAGTTACATATCATCCCCCCAAGAGACACCAACTCTGGGAATGCAGAGAGAGGAAACTAATCAGGGCAGACCACCTCACACACTTCTTGTAATTAGAAATTCAAAATACTCTGGTACCATTTAGACTGCCTTGAGCACATATGTTCAGTTTAAATCTTAATTTCATCAACGTGCTAAAAGACAAAAAATGTTTACATCTTTGCTACAAGAGTAGAGCTAAAAAGTAACTTCAGGAGACCACATGGGCTGACTTCTGTCTTCTGGGAAGGCTCTGACATATGATTTTAAAATCTTTTCATTGTTTCAAGAGTTTCACAGTATTGGTTTTCTTCCTGGGTATAGTGGTTTCTGCAAATCTTCTGTGATTGCTGACATTGGAAGCAGGATGAATAAATGCAGACTTTCTTGAATACTGGTTTATCTGCACGTACACCCAGAACATAAAAGCTGTTCTCTGCTATGATTCACAAAAGCCTTCTGCCATTCCTTTTGGTATCAGCACTCATAGAATCAATGGTCATTTGTTTCACAATATCATTTCCTTCCATAACTTACATCTACTTTTCCTTTTTAAAGTAGTTTTATTTCTTTTTACTTATTCATCTATTCTTCTAGCTTTATTTCAGAATTTTCAAAACCTGCTGAATGGATTTCTAGTAAGAAAAATAAAGAACTCTGATTCTTGACCTAAAACAGGTGAGGAAATTACACTGACACAAACTTTCATGCCAAACACTTGATCAAAATAAAAAGGCCTTTGTTTTAAGTATGTACCTTTTACCTATTTCTGCAGCCTAATTGTGCACTTTATGATATGTGAAATGTTTTCAGCTGTTTTAGTTTTAAATCTCAGCATTCATAAAATTAAGCTATAACCAGAAATGACAATATAATTCCTTATTACAGGAAAAAAAAAATCAAAAATGTGTGGGTGAGAGAAAGAAAGAGATGGAGAGAGAAAGAGACTCTAACGAAACCAATGCATTTGTAAGTAGCTTGTTTTTGCACTACTTTATTAAATCTCTCTATCACTATCTTAATTATTCTAGTTCATTTCAGTTCTTAAAACTGAAATAATGAAAATTCCTAGCAAAATTTAAGTGAAATAAAACATTACAACTCGTTAAATGTCCAAAACAACAGGGAAATTAAATAAAATTTAGCCTCATCAGAGCCCTTCTTCAGTTCACTACTGGAAAAGTCATGACATCACTCCATAATTCAGTATAATATTTATAAAATAATAGGAATTAAAGAAGTAAGAATACATAGTAAGGACTACAACAATAAATTTTGTGTCTCTAGTTCACTCAAGATCACAAAAACTGTGATCAACCACTCCCAATGGTTAATGAAAAACAAGAGAGAAAAAAAGGTTAATGTTAATTGTTTAAACTGAATTTCACAAAAAGCTTTGATATTGCAAAACAGTGAAATACACTCTGAAAACAGTTCACTGGAAATTAGGAACACACTATATGAACTTACTGAGCTACGAGAAAGCAAAGCAGGTCAGTATTACTCAGTTATGCCTGTATGCAGGGAGATGAAACAGAAGATCTTCTGAGTTCAGTTCCTTTTTTGACTCTAAGATCAGCAAGATTATCGAAACTTCTACTTCAGTCAAAATCTTACATTAAGGGAATGACAGTCAGTCAACAGCCACCTTGAAAATGAGACTTTTATAACTTTAAAATCAAACAAGTACCAAATAGCCTGAAAAAGGTACATCTTGGTCAGTAATCACTACATAATGCTCACATCAGGCTTGGAATAAATGTGTAAGCATACTGAGGGACAGGGGAACGTTAAAGATCTGTAATGTTCATATTTGTTAGAGAACCTTTCACCTAATGCGACTGGTCTGGGTCACACTGAAGGTCCCTTCTTGGCAACAGGAGCTTATAAGACAGTGTGGTCCTTCTGGTTATATTCTCCCAGCTGCTAGCAATGTGCAGTTTAAGGATGTCCTCAGTCAGAGGTGGGACACAGACCACCTTCTTCATGGCTTCTGATAAACCAGGAACTAACAGTTTTCTTTTCCTGGTTTTTAATAGACTGTTACGCTCTGTAAACACCACAGAGAAAAACAGCAAGGTGTGTTCTGTCTGTTGTATCCCGTAATTAGGGAGCAAAGCTGACATAAATCTAGTAGGT